TCATCAAAGGGAAGCTTCCTTCATCAATAAATTTACAGGTCGTCACTCACGAGGAAAGAAAAAAAGGTTATTTTCAGCAGAGCCTTTCCCGCCTCATCTTTCCACTTTCTGTCCTGGGGGCTGCTAAGAACCCTGTCCAGCAACAGTAATTTGGGTATAAATGAGACAATGTTTGTAAAGCGCTTAGCACGGTGTCTGATATGCGTTCAATCATTTTTCAGTCATGTCGACTCTCGGTGACCCCATTTGGGGTTTTCTTGGCAGAGATACTTGGAGTGGTTTGCCGTTTCCTTCTCCAGCTCATTTTGCAGATGTGGAAACTGAAGCAAACAGGGTGAAGTGACTTGCCCAGGGTCACACAGCTAGTAAGTGTCTGAGGCCAGATTTGAAGTCAGGAAGATGAGTCTTCCTGACTCTGGGCCTGGGATTCTCTCCACTGTACCACCCAGCTACCCAGGTCTGACACTTAGTAAATGCTACGTAAAGAGTTATTCATTTCCTACCCTTCCCCTGCCCCATCATGCTCATCGTGGCTCCCCTTTCTGCTGCAATGAAAACATTCTCTACCCCCAGCAACCCTGTGAAACAAGCGCCACCATCTCCCTTTGTAGGCTGAAGCTCAGAAAGGTTAAGGAACTCACACAGCCAGTAGGTGTTGGAATTGGGATGTGAACCCCGGCTCCCCAAGCCAAGTCTCATCCTCTTTCCAGGACACCACACTTTCTATATTTTTTTTAGATACTTAGGTAAGTGCCTAAGTCTAAGTTGTCTTCCTGGTAAGCTCCCTGAGGGCAGGGACTCTCTCTTTTTTGTCTTAGCACAGTGTCTGGCATATAGTAGGTGTTTAATAAATGCTTGTTGAGTGAATTTGTGCCTACTTATCTAGGTCCGTGCTAGCTTGTTTCTTCCTCTCCCCTCTCCCACCAGGTGAACGTGAGCTTCTTGTGAGCAGAGCATATTCCATTTTTGTCTTTGAACCTCCAGGTCCTAGCACTAGACAGACAGAAGGTTCTTAACAAATGCTTGTTGATTTTTTTATGTGATGGGGAGTCTCCCCATCTCATGTATACATTTGGGAAATCTATGGTTCCACAGGCAGGAAGTACAGGACCTGAGTTCAAAACCTACCTCTGATGCTTACTCCCTGTGACTTTGGGTAAGTTACGTAGCCTCTCTGGATCTCAGTTTTCCTTAGAGATACCTGGTGGTTCAGCAGATGGAGCTCCAGGCCTGGAATAGGAAGACCAGAGTTCAAATCTGGCCTCAAATACTAATGTGTGACCTGGGCAAGTTACTTGACTTCAATTTCCTCAACTGTGAAATGGGAATAATAGCTTAGCACAGTTCCTGGCACATGGTAGGTATTTATTCCCTTCCTTTAGTGATAAAGAGTTTGACTGGATGCCGTATTGGGGTTGTTTAAAGTGGAGGTGTACTTCCGTGAAATGTACTTGCTTTCTTGCCCTTTTATGGTCCCTGAGGCAGATACTAACCAGAGAACCATGAGCGGCATGTGAGGAACTTCAAAGTGTAAAGGGTTAAAAGACTTCCCAGAGTCTAAGGGTTGCTGTCTTGGGGGGTCTTGGACAAATGTCATGGTGTAGCCTTCTGCCTCCAGAGGGTCTGTATCCTTTCAGTTCATTCGAGGACAGGATTGTGGAGATAAGCTGGAAGGAGCCTTAGAGACCTACCCCTTTGTTTTACAGAGGAGGAAACTGAGGCATAGAGAGGTTAAGCAATGGTGTGGAAGACAGCATTATGGACCTAGGGCTGGAAGGTGCAACCCTCTCCTCCAACAGAGGACGAAACCCAGGCCCAGAGGGGCTGCATCACACAGGAAGGATATTTGAACCCAAATAGTAGGGACCTGAAAGTGACTTTTAGGGCCTTTTGTCACAGCTTGCTTAAATTCTCCTTGGTCTTCTACATGAGTAGGCAGAAAATGGACCTTATCATCATTGATTTAGAGCTAGAAATCACCTCAGAGGCTATCTCAATTTCCTAATCATTTTACAGATGGGGAAACTAAGGCTTGGAGAAATTAATTAACTTATGACTATAGTATCACAGATTTAGAGCAGGAAGAGACCATAGAAGCCATCTCATCGAACACCCCTCCATTTAAAAACTGAAATATGAAGACACTAGGTCTGAGCTAAGGTCACACACATAAGTGGCAGAGAAAGCATTTGAACCCATATCTTTAGTCTCCAAGTCCAGGTGGCTTTCCATTATACTGTGCCGATATTGTCTTCTGATTTTACTTTATGTGTGCACATTCCTTCACACACACTTGCATGATCTGGTCATACAAGACTTAATGTCAAGTGTACGAGCAGAATTTTTTAAAAAGAAGTCAACGACGTTTTCAGGACATTTATTTAAGGCCAGTTATCAGGAAGAGAAGGAACAAGGAGAATGAAGGGTGCTCATTTCCTCAACTTGTTTTCCCAAGCTAGGCTGGCCTAGAGAAATGGAATAACTTTAGCACAGGGTTGCACGTTGACACATAGAAAATGTAGAGGCTTTTGTTTAAAAGTCCCCTCTGAGACTTATTTCCTGGGTAACCTTGGGTAAGTGCCTCCACCTTCCTGGGCCTCAACTTTCCTCAGTAGTAAAAAGAACGGGTTGGAGATGAGGGACCTCTGAGGTCCCTGCCAGCTCTCAAGCTGCTGGTGTCCTCTGATCCTAAGGTGGGATCTGGGATGTTAACCTTGCTCTTAGAGCCTCCTGAACACGAGCATTGTTTGATTTCAGCTCAAATGTTTGAGAGGCATAGCTATCAGAGATGGAAAGAATCTTTGAGATCTCCTTGTCTAACCCCCTCACCTAGAGGCAAGGAGTAAAAACTGGGATCCTTCTTAATCCAGTTCAACAAGCATTTATCTATCTATCTATCTATCTATCTATCTATCTATCTATCTATCTAT